CTTTAATTAGTATTAGTATAGAGCCTCTTTTAACCATTTCGTTCTCAATTATCATTAACTCGCTCTGCCTGTACTGTCTTATCTCACCAACCACGTTTCGCTACTTAATTTCTACATTATGTGTTATGTATAATATTTTGGTTTAATTTTGTGTATCTACTCAAATGATTTCTTTAATTTCCTACTTTTTTTATCTTATTCTCTCTTTTAACTTAACTAAACAAGACTGTTAAAGTAATAACAGCTCGCCCAGAATAGCTTTGCTAGCTGCGAACTGCTAAGGTTTGTAATTCAATGATATTTTTACGATAACTGGACAAATTCTCGCGCGCACAGTGGCTAATTTTCATTGTCAATATGCGGACAGACACATGAAGTTATAATTTATGCGATGCATCAAGGAGCGAAAGCGGACAATTTGACAATTTGTTACCGTTAAAAAACAAATTGACGTCAGTTTTTCGTGCGTCTGTCCTGTTATTGACAATGAATTTCGTCATAACATTGTCAGTAGTCTTTGGTTTTACTCGGCTGTCGCCTCGTGATCCACAGCTACTTTGACAATGTTATGACGAAATTCATGATCAATAACAGGACAGACGCATGGAAAACTGACGTCAATTTGTTAAATTTATTACCGTTACCGACGTTCAGCTCGTGGGTGACTTGACAGGAAGTTTAAACCGCCCTTTAGCGTTCTTCTTCTTCGTTCTTCTTCTCATGAGAACAACAAGGGAGTTAGTAAGTCGTGAAATCCTGTGTAGAAGACCCAGAGTATTCCTTCAAGTTCGTGTCATAGTCGGACGATCAATTGCTCTGGAGTTTTGCTATTGTCTGGTCTCTATGCTCGGTGTTTTTCTCTTTTCCTGCCTGGCTTCGTTTCTTCGACAAGCCTTCCATCTGAGAATTCGTTGACAGAAATTCGGAATGACGACTCTGACATCCGGTTTTAGGGAAGCATGTATAAGTGGATTTACAAGCGAACTAGTCGCTAGTGTGAAAAGCGAAATAGTGAACAAAGCACGAGGAAGAAGGTCAGGGCGATTGAAAACACTGTTGACTGTTCACTCGTGGGTGTCTTTGAGAACCAACAAACAAGTGAGACGGTCGTGAAATCCTGTGTTGAAGTCTCGGAGTATTTTTACAACTTCGTGTCATACTCTGACGATGAATTGCTCTCGTGTTTTTCTATTGTCTGGTCGTTTTGCTTCGTCTTTTTCTCTGTTTTTGCCCAACGAGACGAGGGAGGAATGCTTGGTTTCTTTGGCACGACGTTCGTCTGACAAAGCTTTCGACAGAAATTCCGAATGATGACTCTGAAATCCGGTTTTAAGAAAGCATATATTAGTGGATTTACAATCGAACTAGTCGCTACTGTGAAAAGCGAAATTGTGTCCAAAACACCAGGAAGAAGGTCAGGCCGATCCAAAACACTGTAGGAGGTGGTTGAGTATAAGATCGGCAACCAAGAGAGTAGGAATGCCGTGGAGACTATGCAAAAGACTTTCACCACCTGGGCGTCTGATGAGATACGTCGACGCTCCTTTCTCTGCTCTCTCGCGGATTCAAAGTCTTTTCTCACGGTCAAGCTTCGTCGCACTTGTCTGAAAATCCGAACATAGGCGAAGGTTACAAAGATGTAAGGCA